GTCCCGCTCTCTTCAGGGCCCATCGGGACAGCAGCACCTCCACTGCCACCTGCTGCCAGTGCTATGTCGCTGATACCCACCATGTTCTGCGCTGCCCCCAGGTGGTCAGCGCACATCATAGCGAGTGGTTGAACTGGTCGAGGGGACAATTTGTATATTAGGCTTTTATTATATAGATTCTCAGATCTGGGAAAGCGGTTAGCATTACAGGGCACATCAGGGCTTAACCAATATCCACAGCTCCAACCTATTTTACATCAAAACGAGGGCTGTTAGCTACCCAGGAGACTCCACCCCCTGAGGACCTGCACATTGGCCCGTGTACTTTTTAAAAACAATCAGCCCCCTAAACAACTCTTACCCAAGAAAGTGATGTGAACCTGATTTTTTTTTTTTTTTAACTGAAAGGAGTTGCCATTTACAAGCAGTCATCTCTTGGGAGTAAGTAGGTTTAGCAAGATACCCAAGTGCAAGTACAGGGCAGTTGGGTACCTTTTGCCCTTGCAGAAGCCGACCTGAGCACTGGCTGACAGAGGCCCTCCTCCCCAGAAGCTCCTCCACGTCCAGTCAGGTGTCGGGAGAGCCGGGGCTTCAGGTCCCCCCTCTCTTCCACTCTGAGGTGAGCATCATTAGCACCTCTCTCAGGGATGAAGGCAGCTGGGGAAAGGGATACCAAAGGCCCCCTGAGGGACTCCCCATCAGTGGAATGTGGGACGGTGACGGGGCTGCACACCAGGGGTGTTTAGTCTCACCCTGTGAGGCTGTGGCTGGAGCCTGGCCCCTCCCTATCTCCCAACCACCTTGGTGTGGTGGATCTTTGGGGTTGGGAACAATGACTGCAAAAGCAGATTTAAAAATTGCCCCTTTGAGAACTCGGGAGCAACATACCAGGTACTGAGGACCCTGCAGCCACTGGGACTCACAGACAAAAGTCTTGGATTTTGTGGAACCAGTTTGCAATACGTCCAAAATGAGAGCTGAGCGCTGGACGGCCCTGTGCGCTGGAGGACTCTTCATTGGCTTTCAGGCCTTTGGGAGCAGTGACTTGTGAACAATCGAGAGGCAGCAGCGGAGGGTCCTAGAAAAAGGCTGGGCCTCCTGCTCATTGAGGTAAGAAGCGTGAAGTGATTTTAATTTGAGAGAATAGGACATTTGATCTTCTATTGTACCCATGAGCAGACCAGTTCCTTTAAAGGAGGTTTACAGAGGGTGCTGATGATATTTCTGCAAATGCCTGGGAAATTTTATTTGCTTAGGAATCAACTCGTCACCATGTATTTGGCAAGTTTGTTTTAAGTGTCTGACAACAAAGAACCACAAAAGCTAATTTCTGAGGTTTTTCTCTTCTTTTTTATTAGGAACATACAAGCATATTTTGCTAGACAAATCGAGGTATCCAGTTCAGATACTCAAGGCATTTCCAGAAGAATAAAAACAAAATCCTGGCTCTTTGTGAGGTTTGAGAATCGGCCATTCATCTGAGAGCTGGTGCATCTGCAACGTATGACAACACCTTGCCCTTTGGTGAGGAAAAAAAAAAAAAGGAAGCAACCTCCTGACAAGCAAGGAGCCAAATAACCCCCTTTCTGGTTCCTGATGTGGCCGGGATGCTTCAGAGCTGTGCACTGCTTTTCCACTCACACGGGCAGACTCTATCCCACATGCCAGACCTGCTAGCTGAAGACCTCAGGATCCCAGACTGGTCGTTTCACACACGGCAGCCTCGCCATGCCAGGCAGTCCCAGAGTGTGGACTCTGGGTCCGTGTCCCACTCTCTGCCTTTGCTGTGACCTGAGGACAGATGACTTCTCTGAGCCTTCGTTTCCTCATTTGTAAGATGGAACTAGTCATATCTTCGTCCTGAAGATATTGTATTGTCTGAAGCATGCTAAGTCCTCACTAAATGGTAATGTTAACATAAAAACATTCAAACCTGTAAAAAACCTTTGTGAGTTTCTTTACAAACTGTCGACAGTTGCCAGGAAGCAGAACCTCAAAGGGTTGAGATAATGCTCCAGAGAGGGCGGTTTCTCATCTATTTTTATACATTTCAATCAAAGGAGGGGACGTAGGTGGGTTACATGAAATCCATTGGTGGTAGATTAGGGAGGTGGGAGAAAGCAAAGCGAGTGGGGCGGGGTGGGGGAGAGGAACCCTGGGATTGGATAAAAGGTGAAGTGATAGACACATACTTAGGAGGTGCAAGAACAATTAACCTAATGAAGGAATTTGTGGTCTCTGTCCTGGCACCCAGCACATTAAGTTGTGCCCCAAGGGATCCAGAGAAAGCAAGGTTACAAGTCACCCAGACATTTTAAGGGTATGTTATTAAAGATGCAAAAAGACAGATAGGCTCAGCTAAGGTAAAGGTTGACCTTGTCAGTGAAGATACCCACCTAGGATGGAACTACCCACCATAACTGCGTTCAGTTACAGTTTAATTTCAGACCATCCTTGTGGTGACTTTAGGTCTCGGAGTTTGCAAGACAGCCATGCAGGCCTCCCCTGGGCCGTCAGGTCAGCATGTGGCCAAGTGAGTTATTGAGAACAGGGGCAGTTGGTTGTGGCCATCACTTACCAGTCTTCCTATCTATTATGAATTTGTACTTTGTATGGTGTATATAATTTACATGGTTTACATATAATGTATGTAGTGTGTAAATAATTCATATGATATATATTTATTTATATTTACTCCCTAGTATAGCTTCAACAAAAGCTGCAAATACCTGCCATTTGTGTTTTGTCAAGAGTATCTGGAATCAGCCAAAACCGGTTTGGCTCAGTGGATGGAGCGTCGGACTGCGGACTGAATGGTCCAGGTTCGATTCCGGTCAAGGGCATGTACCTTGGTTACGGGCACATCCCCAATGAGGGGTGTGCAAGAGGCAGCTTGTCGATGTTTCTCTCTCATCGATGGTTCTAGCTCTCTCCCCCTCTAAATTCATCTCTGTGTAAAATCAATAAAAATATATTTTAAAAAAAAGAGTATCTGGAATCAGAGAAAGGGATCAAAAAGAGAAATGGGAAGAGGGGCAGGAATGGAAGGAGGGGAGTGCAGCATAAAGAGGAAAGCAATTTTTTAAGTTTCAGAAGAAAGTGCAGGCAGGACGCTCTAACTCAGAAGTAGAGATGAGAGAGGAGCCTGCAGGTGTGGCAGCCTGAGGCTCAACCGGAAACGGCGGGCGGGTGGGCGGGGACTTCCGGGCCGGGACCTTCCCTTTGCCCCGGAAGAACCTAGCGGTCCCACTGGCAGCCAGCGAGCCGGTGCCCAGCCGCCGCGGTGAGACCTGCGCCCCGCGCCCCCAGCGGGTCCTGCGGGTCCCGGGCGGGGCCGGGGCGGGCGTTGCGGGGCCGGCAGTGGGGCTGGGGCCGGGGACGCCAGGAGGGGCGGCAGGGCGCGGAGGGGACTCGGGCGCGGCTCGGTCCACCCAGAAACGGGCGCAGAGAGGCGGGGAGGCGAGGCCAGCACACACGTGAGGGGATGGGAGGAGGGCGTGCAGACGCCGGCCTCAGTTTCCCCGCTGTGGTGGCCGGCGTTTCTCCTGCAGACCGCACCCCTCTGAGCTCAGGATCCCCACGTCCGGCTGCCTGGGGGGCGTGCCTGCCTGGCTTCCGGAAGGGCCCTGGTTCCACTAACGGACTCTTGCTCTCCCACCTCCTGCCGAATCCACCCCCTCCAGTTGCTCCCTGTTGCGGTCGATGGCACCGTCGTCCGTTCAGTGGCCCCGTGGGGAATCGGGGCATCCTCAGCCCCTGTCCCTCCTGGACCCAATCCAGTCTGTTACTCGGCGCCCCAGCCTCGCCTCCCAAAGCCAGTGCCTCCTGCGCCTCAGCCCCACCCACCCCCAAAGCTGTCAGCCAGCCATCAGGGCCTGGGTGTCCCCAGGGAAAGGCTGTCTGAGACAGGGAGCTGGGCAGAGCTCCCCGTCACCTGCTTCTCACTGCTCCCCTCCTTCACTTTTGTCTCATCCATGACGGTGCCTGCAGCCGACTGTTTTGATCAATATCTGAGTCCCCACTAGGGAGTCCATGGGGACCGCCATGCAAACCATGACTTCTGGGGGTTCTTTCTGCTAGAGAACCCCCAGAAGAAAAGGCGGATGGGGGGGAATGGGGGGTAGATTGACCGCATTGTCAGTACCATTACCTGGGGAGAAGGTGGCTGGAGCAGAGCCTTCCTGCTGTCAGCCTGGAGGACAGGAACAGAGTAAATGGAAAGGAAGAATAAGAGTTTGGAAGCAGCTCTGGGAGCACCCTGAGCAGTTACTTTAGAATTGTAACATTTTAAACCGCTCCTCTGAAGAGAAAGCAGCCAGCAGAAGCCGCTGGGGTCTGCCCTTGGCTTTCCTACAGGAGCACTGGGCGGGGTCCCGTGGCCTCTGTGAAGCGCTGGCAGGTGTTTCCGCTGTGAAGGGGACATGGTTCTGTCGCTTTGTGAAGGATGCCTCCCTGCCAGGGCACAGACCGCAGGGCGGGCGGCTTTAGTCCTGTCTGCAGCCGTCAGTGCACACTGGGCAGCAAACACCCAGATGTGTTGTGTGTTTTTCCCTCTGAAACTCAGGGAGAGAACTTTCCGTTTTGCTTTATTTTCTCTCCGGGTCTGCCGACGGCCCCCTCCTCTATAAAAGACGCACCTCTGCCCAAGTTGGGACTCCATTGCTCCCATCCTCCTGGTGTGAGGGTAATCTGTCACCTGCTGGGAGTGTGCATTTCTCTATTGGGCTTGTGAAGAGAGATTGTCCTGCGTGCTCTTGGCGTGTGGCGCTCCCACAGCGACCCCCACGCTAGCAGAGACGGAGGCCGGTCTCTGAGCTGGACTGCGCTGCCTCCCGAACCACACCACATCGGCCAGCCGGTGAGCGGGGAGCCGTGAGCGAGCTCCTGGTGTGGGCCTGGATGCCTTCAGCTCAGAATGGTCCACGTGCAGAGTGCACACTTAGGGAGACTTGTTCTGAACCCCTGTTCCTGTGCCCTTTCCTCTCCATCCTCCAAACCAGGGTTGAAACGTGACCTGATACGGCATTTGGAAGACACTTTCGTATAGTGTTTTGTTACGAAGAATGTTTCTGCAATAGAAGTGGAGTCACTTAGGTCAAAGTGTTTACTGGATCTACTAGTGAGTCCTGGAAAACAATGGGACTTGGGATTCAGGAGGGAGAGAATCCTGAGTGAAAGGACGTTGCTAATTGAGATGCACTCGTAATCTAACTGTTCTGTGGTTAAGACAGGGATTCGCACGGCTCTATCCTGGTATGCGTTAGAGCTGTTCGGAGATGGCTGACCCCTGGGAGGAGTGCATGGACTACGCAGTAACCCTGGCAAGGCGAGCTGGAGAGGTACTGTCCCGATGCCGCCACGTCCCCGATGCTGGCACTCACCAATGCCCCGTGTCCCCGATGCCGGCACCCACCAATGCCCCGTGTCCCCAATGCCAGCACCCACCAATGCCCCATGTCCCCGATGCCGGCACCCACCAATGCCCCGTGTCCCCGATGCCATCACCCACCAATGCCCCGTGTCCCCGATGCCATCACCCACCAATGCCCCGTGTCCCCAATGCCAGCACCCACCAATGCCCCATGTCCCCGATGCCGGCACCCACCAATGCCCCGGGTCCCCGATGCCGGCACCCACCAATGCCCCGTGTCCCTGATGCCGGCACCCACCAATGCCCCGTGTCCCTGATGCCATCACTCACCAATGTCCCCGATGCCATCACCCACCAATGCCCCGTGTCCCCGATGCCATCACCCACCAATGCCCCGTGTCCCTGATGCCAGAACCCACCAATGCCCCGTGTCCCCAATGCCATCACTCACCAATGTACCCGATGCCATCACTCACCAATGCCCCGTGTCCCCGATGCCATCACTCACCAATGTCCCCGATGCCATCACCCACCAATGTCCCCGATGCCATCACCCACCAATGCCCCGTGTCCCCGATGCCATCACCCACCAATGCCCCGTGTCTCCGATGCCATCACTCACCAATGCCCCGTGTCCCCGATGCCATCACCCACCAATGTCCCCGATGCCATCACCCACCAATGTCCCCGATGCCATCACTCACCAATGCCCCCGTGTCCCCGATGCCATCACTCACCAATGCCCCGTGTCCCCGATGCCATCACTCACCAATGTCCCCGATGCCATCACCCACCAATGTCCCCGATGCCATCACTCACCAATGCCCCCGTGTCCCCGATGCCATCACTCACCAATGCCCCGTGTCCCCGATGCCATCACTCACCAATGCCCCGTGTCCCCGATGCCATCACTCACCAATGTCCCCGATGCCATCACCCACCAATGCCCCGTGTCTCCGATGCCATCACTCACCAATGCCCCGTGTCTCCGATGCCATCACTCACCAATGCCCCGTGTCTCCGATGTCTCGGACTAAGCACCTGCGTTGCTTTTCATTCCACTAAACACTGTACATGGAAAAGGTTCTCCAATTTTGTGTCGTTAACTTTTGGGATGACAGTTGTGGATCTGTCTTAGGATGTAAGAATGCTATGATTTTGTACCTAGAAGGACATAACCACTAAAGGTTTATTTTGTAAACCTTGTGATAAGAAAATTTTAAGAATATCATTTAAGACATTGCACCATTGCTGTTTCATTTTTAGCTTGATTTAAATTTACTTACGCTTTTCTGTTTGCTTACCAAACACATTCTCAGGTGGTTCGCGAAGCTCTGAAAAATGAAGTGAATGTTATGATTAAAAGTTCTCCAGCCGACTTGGTCACTGTGACTGACCAGAAGGTTGAAAAGATGCTTCTCTCCTTCATCAAGGAAAAGTACCCATCTCACAGGTGAGTCTGCTGCCTGGAGTCAGTACTGAGGCACAGTGCCGACCGAGCCGGAAGCTGACTGTAGTTCCTGAGCCTGGAAGGACGGTGGGCAGCCTGGGAGGGAGGTCGGGCAGGAGCCAGGGAGGAAGGGGACCCGGGCCCCTCACAGGAGTCACGGCTGCTGAGGCGCCGGCTGCCTCGCTCTGGACTCTGATTTCCCGATCGCTCACTATTACAGTCGGGGGCAGGGCCACCAGCCGGGAGGGATAAGGGAAAGGATGTTTGGATGCTGGGAAGCTGGTGTGAGAAGGGCTGCCCAGGCATGATTTAGTCAGTTTTGTTCTCTATCGCAGATCTTCTTCTGGTAGTCTTTGGGGCCTGAGAGAAGCCACGGGAGTCAGGGCGCAGGCACAGCAGCGCAGGCACTGCCACCGCTTTGTCTCAGTGCTGCCATTCTCTGCCTCTTCCCGGCGATGTAAAGCCTGTACACTTCCTCTAAAAGCCACTGTGCAGCTGACGCCGATCACCAAGTGATAGTGAGGAGAGCTCAGGGTTGGACAGAGGGAAACAGAAAGCTGAATGTAGGGACGAGAGAAAGCAGTGACTCGGCACCACTTCCGGGGCCACCTGGGAGCTGTTGCATAGTGTGCTGGGCAGACAGGTAATTTTGGGGCGACTTGCCTCCTTGCTGACCTATCTAATGCTCTCTTTTACTCACCTGCTGCTGCAGAGCAAGTTACCCTGAGCTGAACATGAGCAGCTCCAGACAGCAGGCTTACAGCAGAGTTTTCTAGGTTCAGCACGTGGCAGGAGCTCAGCGCAGGGTCTCATGACACGTGGGAGTCCGTGGGGTGGGCCGCAGCCGCCAGGCCTGCACTGGCCGAAGGATCCATTCGGCTTGGGTGGTTGCTGGTGACTTCCCTCCCTCCCGCGGTCTGGGGGCAGCTCCCGTCGGTCCCTCGCCATGTGGGCCCCTCAGAGCAGCTCAGCACGGGTGGCCTGCTTCCCTGGCATGGCAGGGGCGGGAGTGGAGAGGGAAGACAAACCACAGTGCGTGCTGTGAGCAGGTCCTCAAGGTGGCACGTTGGCACTTCTGCTTCCTTCTGCTGCTTAGAAACGAGTCACTAAGTCCAAGTTCACACTCGAGGCGGGAGCGTTAGGCCTGCCTCTGGAAGAGAGGAGGATGAGAGACCTGGGGCATCATTTTAAAACCACCACGTGCCCTAGTGAGGCCTCACCTGTACCGGTGCCCTGCGCACGCCCACGCCTTCGCTCACCGGCGCCCCGTGGTCCCAGGACCGCTTGTCAGGCGGTCTGGGAGTGACACTTAAGCACGCACGTCCCGCGGGAGGCAGGAGCCCGGATGGAAGGGGGTGCTGTGTAGGATTGTACGTTTGTGTGACTAGCTAAGGGAATGCTAAACCTGGCACTTGCAGAACTTGGTGTAAAGAGCCATTCTTGCTTTTAGTTTCATTGGTGAGGAGTCCGTGGCCGCCGGCGAGAAAAGTGTCCTCACCGACAACCCCACGTGGATCATCGACCCCATTGATGGGACCACTAACTTCGTGCACAGGTACGAGCGGGGTTTGCACTGAGAGGACCTTTTCGAGTGCTCCGTCCACGAGCATTCAGGCTCAGAGAGTCGTGTGGAGTGAGCTGTGAGGAGGCAGTGACGGAATTGCTGTGGGACTGTGCGGCCAGCCGCCTGCTCACTTCTTTTCCCTCCGAGGGAGGAAGGGGAGGAAAGCCAGCACCACGCTGCTTTGAGATCAGCTGGGGCGCTCTGCTGCCCACTTCGTGCTGCGGTGCCACCTTCAGGCCAGGTGAGGAAGCTCAGGAAGAGTGTGGGTTTAAATCAGCACTCTCCGGCTTGAGCGGTGTTTTTTACAGGCTTTGCAGCCTGGGCAAGTTCCTTCACTTTTCTAAGCCTCAGATGCTGTTTTCTTCTTATCTGAGAAATGAACTTATTATTGGTGCCTGCCTCATGGAACTGTGGGGATTCGGGTGGTACACATACGTGAGGATGCCTTACAGGGTCTGGGACACAGGGCAGCACACAGAGACAGCACAGGGCAGCACACAGGGCCCAGCACACAGGGCCCAGCACCCAGGGCCCGGCACCCAGGGCCCGGCACCCAGGGCAGCCCACAGGGCCTGGGACACAGGGCGGCACACAGGGCCCAGCACACAGGGCCCAGCACACAGGGCCTGGGACACAGGGCGGCACACAGGGCCCAGCACACAGGGCCCAGCACACAGGGCCTGGGACACAGGGCGGCACACAGGGCGGCACATAGGGCCCAGCACACAGGGCCTGGGACACAGGGAGGCACACAGGGCCCAGCACCCAGGGCCCAGCACACAGGGCCCAGCACACAGGGCCCAGCACACAGGGCAGCACACAGGGCCTGGGACACAGGGCGGCACACAGGGCCCGGGACACAGGGCGGCACACAGGGCAGCACACAGGGCCCAGCACACAGGGCCTGGGACACAGGGAGGCACACAGGGCAGCACACAGGGCCCAGCACACAGGGAGGCACACAGGGCAGCACACAGGGCCCAGCACACAGGGAGGCACACAGGGACAGCACAACAGGAGCAGCCCCCCTGGGTGGGATAAGGGGTCGCCCTGTGGCTGGCGTGCCTGTGGGACACAGAGGTGTGTATACTGTAAACCAGACCTGGCTGCTGTAGGTGGTGGGGCTGTGGAAGGGTGCCCTGGGACGTTGTCAGTGGGAGAAGATTATGATGCATTGTGTATACAATGGCCTCATTTTTGTTACCATAAATGCTGTTACCTATTCCTAAAAACGTTTATTTTTAACTAGAGGCCTGATGCCCGAAATCTGGGCAAGGGGCTCGGCCCTCGCAGCCCGGCTTCATCTGAAGGGCGGCTGGTCTAATTAGCATGTTATGCTTTTTATTAGATTATATTGAAGCCATTTTGTCTTTATCTTGGTTCTCTTTGAGTCAGAAATCACCACCCTGTCTCAGACCGCCGTGCAGCCATAGCAACCATGTGGCTGCGGGTCACCGTGCCGGGGTGAGGCTGCGGGTGGGGCTTCGCGGAAACAGGAGCCGTGAATTCTGTGCGGCCGCGCCTGTGTTCACAGGTCCAGGCTGGGCGAGAGGCGACCACAGGAAAGAACCTGTGCTCTTAGCTGTGGTCAGTGTGAAATCCTAACGTTTGTTTTCACTTTTTGAGACAATATCGTCCACCATCACTATATTGTGGTATTCAACATTCAAAAGATAGCGAATGGCGTGAGAGGGAGTGGCCTTCCCGGGTCTGTCCCGGGTCCTCAGGCCGCCTCTGAGGTGACTCCTCTCAGAGCTGCTCACGGCCGCAGAGTCCCTGTGTGTCTGATCTGTGTCCGAGCCCCAACCCCGTGTACACGAAAGGTTGCATACTTAACACACCGCCGTGGGGCATAGAATGAGACCTTGAATGGAAAACGTTATAAGCAATTACATTGTGAGAAGACGTATTTATTGAAAATAAGTCCTATCTTGATAACTTTGTGTTTTTTTTAAGATTTCCTTTTGTGGCTGTTTCCATCGGCTTCGTTGTCAATAAAGAGGTACGCTGCTTACTTACGGCGGGTAACATGCCTGCTGTCATTTCTGAGAAAGAGTAACTGTCTCCATAGTACGTACAGATTTGCCTCTGTGTTCAGTGTACACGCTGCATTGTTGTGAAATAAGCTGTGTAACGATCATGGTACTTCTCCCAGAGAAGAACACCCAGTGCTTTCTGAGCAGCAGGAGTTTTAAGGGAGAAGCACACACTGAGTCACCTGGCATGTGTGAGGGAGGCAGGTGGTTAAGGGAGGGGTTCAGCCAGCGCTTCCTCGGGTGTTGGTGGAAGGCCCGGGGGTGGGGGGTGGGGGGGCCGGGGGGAGAGCAGCGCGTCTGGAACCCGCACCCGCTGGCGCGAGCCCGGAGAGCGGCGGGTCACTGGGCGTTGCCACGCTGCGGGGCTGCCTGACAGATCAGCAGTGAATGATGTTGTCTCTTCTTGGCCCTGTCTTCACGGGTTCCTGATGTATTGATCACATGGACACAGGGAGTTGAGTTGCTGGAAATGAAAATACAAGTTGGTGCACAGGAAATTAGCCACGGGCTGTGAGCCAGGGGCGTACGAAGGAGCTGAGCGTTCTCTCTCGTGGGCTCCCCCTGCGCGGCGCGTGCTCCCCCTGCTCAGTGTGCGCTCCCCCTGCACAGTGTGCTCCCCCTGCACGGTGTGCGCTCCCCCTGCACAGTGTGCTCCCCCTGCACGGTGTGCGCTCCCCCTGCACGGTGTGCGCTCCCCCTGCACAGTGTGCTCCCCCTGCACAGTGTGCTCCCCCTGCACAGTGTGCTCCCCCTGCTCAGTGTGCGCTCCCCCTGCACAGTGTGCTCCCCCTGCACAGTGTGCTCCCCCTGCTCGGTGTGCGCTCCCCCTGCACGGTGTGCTCCCCCTGCGCGGTGTGCTCCCCCTGCACGGTGTGCTCCCCCTGCTCAGTGTGCGCTCCCCCTGCACAGTGTGCTCCCCCTGCACGGTGTGCGCTCCCCCTGCATGGTGTGCTCCCCCTGCACGGTGTGCGCTCCCCCTGCACGGTGTGCTCCCCCTGCGCGGCGCGCGCTCCCCCTGCGCGGCGATGGTGGGGGGGATGAGGTGAGGGGGGCGATCAGGGGAGGCTTCTAAGTGCAGTTAAGGAGTTTGCAGCCGTGTCGAGATTCTGAACTAAGATGGTGCAGTGAGAACAGCTGAGGAAATGCCAAACGGGGAGGTGTTCTCGGCGGAATTTGAAGGAGGAGCTCTGGCCAGTGCTAGTGGTTAGAGGAGCATCGGCCCGCACCACAGGGTCTGGGTCTGTTCCTGGCCCAGGGCACGCACGCACCAGTCGGCACGTATGGAAGACAACCAGTCTGTGTCTCTGTCACATTGACCTTCTCTCTTTCTCCCTCCCTTTTTCTCCCCCATAGCCCCCTCCCCCTTCCCGCTCCCTCCCTCCCACTCCAAAGAAGAAAAAGCTCAGGGTTAAAAGCGAACGTTTGGGAGGAGCTGGGAAAGGATCAGGCGGGTCAGGTGGTAGTGTGCGCCTCGGCCTCCTTGGCTGAGGGTCCGGGAAGGGGCTCTTCCTGTGATGGCGGAGCTGTGGAGCGGCAGGGCCGGTGGTAGTTGGTTTGTGGCTGTCAGACTGGAGAGCTAAAGGGACGGGAGAATGGAAAACGCTGATGCACACCTCTCACAGGTGAGGCAGAGAAGAAGCCCTAAAGGAAGTGACACGCCCACTGGCTAGTGAGCGAGGGGGCTGAGTCCGGGCAAACGCGGAGCCTCCGGTTCACCTGGCCCTGGGGGTTTCAGAGGAGCGGTGGCCAGGCAGAGGCCAGACTGTGTTGTGTTACCGGGGAGGGGAGGGGAGAGGCGGAGTACAGACCTCTGGCCGGGAGGGGAAGGCTTTTGTAGGGAGGGAGAGCTTGGTGGAGAGGAGCCGGAATCCTATCCCAGAGGAGGAGCAGCGGGAGCAGCGGGGGCAGCGGGTGGCGGTCACCCTCAGGAGGAAGCAGCTCTGTCCCTGGGCGAGGGGAGGAGAGTCTGAGCGGCTGGGCCTCTTCCCTCCGGGCATCCGGAGGAGCCCTCTCAGTGTCGCTGTGCGCCGTGGCAGACGTTGTCAGTGTGTGGATTCTCCTCATGTCACTGAGGGCGAGCCCCGCAGACAGCGGTGGTCAGGAGCCGCTCCCCCGCAGATGGAGTTCGGCGTGGTGTACAGCTGCGTGGAGGACAAGATGTTCACCGCCCGGCGCGGCCGGGGCGCCTTCTGTGACGGCCAGCGGCTGCAGGCCTCCGGGCAGGAAGGTAGGCTCCGGGGCGGGGCGGGGCGGGGCCGGGCCTGCATCCGCTCCTCTTCTGTGGTTTGGGTGTTACCTGACTCATAAGTTGTGCTTATTTTCCCTGCCTTTTGCTCCCACTGGAGTTTGAATGTGGTAGTGGGAGTGGGGAAGCGGGTGGAACTGAGCAAACTACACTCAGGACATGGCTGCGGGCTGGGGACGGAGGTCATGGCGCTTTATTGCAGCCACTGCCTCGCGTATTCTTTGTAGACTCGCTCTGAGCTGATGGCGGTGGGACCACTTACTAGGCAGTAAATCAGAGAAACTTAAATGTAGGAATCACTGAAACTGACCCCTGCACCTTCTGTAAGAGCTGGGTGATTGACAGGTGAGCCTTCTCTGCAGGACGCTGAGAGGGTGTGAGGACCTTCTCCCCATAAGCCACGCCCAGCGCTGGTCAGTTTACACATCCGATTTTTAAGTGCTCCAAGAACTTGCAGATCCTTGCAAAACCATCTCAATTCAGAATCCTCCCACACTGCGTAATTTTTCTCCTCAAACACTTAACTTTGAGAGCAGACATTTATTTCATTATCTTCTTATTGAACTCTAAGACCTGATTGTCGAGACGTTAATGTGTGAGAAATGTGCATCTCAGAATTAAAGGAGAGGTTGCTTTCCTGCCAGCAGCTCGCTCTCTTTATAATTATTCTGCCACACACAGAGTGTAATTACACCGTGTGATTAAATAGTTGATATTTGCTAATTTCCCATTAAAGCTATTATGTAAGCAGGTTAGTTGGTTATATTCTGCATTTTGGGGGGATGGTCTAAAAAGCTAGACTCTCATAAAATGACCTCTGAGGTATAACAAATGTATCCGCATTTTAAGATTTAAAGCCTTAGAAGTAAACAGATTTGATACAACTAGGAATAGAGCTAAGAATGTCCTGTTTTGCTCTGAATCACAAGTGTTGATTTTTTTTTTACCTGAATTCTTATTAAATGAGTGATTTTTGGAGTCATTTCCCTTTAGATATCACCAAGGCGCTCCTGCTGACGGAGCTGGGCTCCTCCCGGACGCCAGAGACCGTGCGAACCGTCCTCGCCAACATGGAGAAGCTGCTCTGCCTGCCCACCCACGGGTAGGCACTGCGCCGGCCGCCGCACGGCATGTCCTCGTCGCCGTGCCTGTTCGTGCTAGATCGGGACCTTCATTCTCATTTTCTAATGGAACTTTAAACACTTTTATTTGAAGATAATTTAAAACTTAACAGAATTTGCAGAAATAAAATAAGGCAAAAAGACAATAGCATACCCTTTGCCCAGTTCCCCTGTCAGTATTTTACCCTTTTATTATTCCCCTAATGGTCTTGAGGTAAATTACGTACAGCGTCGCTCTTTGTCCCTAACACTGCACTGCTGCTTCCTGAGAGCAGGGGTGTTCTCTCCCACAGCCACAGCGCCTTGCTGACTTTGTGAACTTCTGTTCTCTGATATGCCGTCCACGCTTGCTGGGCCAGGGGTCTAATGACAGCCATCCTTTGCAGTGTTCCTCCTCCGAGGGGGTCCAGGCCCGGGCGGGCGGCCTGGGCTGTGCTGCCTCTTCGGCCACCTCTGCTGTGCATGCTGTTTTTGAGATATTTGATGCCAGCCTAATTTTTTTTAGCATTTAAACTATTTCTTGATTTACATGGAGCCTCTGAGATTTTGTTTTCCTTTTCACTTTTGAGATCTGATTGTTTTACAAGGATCTATTTTGGAATTTCACATCTGAGAGACTTTTCTCCTTCAGCGTAGATTTGTGTCTCTCCCCCCCCCCCCAAGATTTATTTATACGCGCGCGCGCACACACACATATATTGATTTCAGAGAGGAAAGGAAAGGGAGAGAGAGAGAAACATCAGTGATGAGAGAGAATCATTGATTGGCTACCTCCTGTACGCCCCCTACTGGGGATTGAGCCTGCAACCTGGGCATGTGCCCTTGGCTGGAATCGAACCTGGGACCCTTCAGTCTGCAGGCTGATGCTCTATCCTCTGAGCCAAACCAGCGAGGGCTCCCAGTTTTCTTGAGTTATAGTTTTACATATTAGCTCAGGTCTGCTTTTATTTTCTTCAGACACCAATAGGCGAGGTCTCTGTCGTCCATTTCAGCCACTTTCTCTCTGACCCTTTTACTCGTGTTTTTCCTGCTTTCCTTGGGGCCTTGATTTGGCTTTCATTTGCAGCTGCTTCGTTAGGGCTCCCTGGCTCGCAGTCTGAGTTCAGTTATCATTGCCCTGAGCTCAGTCATCTCCCTATCTCTTCCTGGGCTTTGTTCCTCACTCCTTCTGCATGTAGGTTTTGTATTTCTGATTTAACACCTGTGTTTACAGCTACTTCTTTGAGATGTTTCATTGAGATTGGATTGATGCCAGTTTCAGTTTTCTCCCTTTTGACAGTCGATTTTTTTCGTGAAAGACTTTTTCAGCCAAAAAAGTCCTAGCACACTTATTAGCAGCTGAGCAGGGAGCAGAGTCAGATGTTTGTGAAACCAAAAGCAGTCAGTCCTTCCTACCGGGTTTCCACTGTGGTTATACACACACCGTGCACTGTAGTGGAATTTAATATTTCCTCCAGCCTTCCCCCCTGAAAATGTCATGGCAGTAATGTTTATTTTATTAAATTACTTTGTGAGAGTGGTCATTTCTGTGGTGCACACGGTAATTAGGTTTTTATGTATTTTTATTTTATTTAAAATTAGGTATGTATCCTGTAGACGGGTTCAGAGGGTCTCAGTCGACACTGAAAATGAACTGACGTGAAGGAAGACCCTATTGAAAGAATGGCTTTTCCAATCTCCTTTGTAACTGCTGTCTGCTAGGATCCGAGGAGTCGGGACGGCAGCTGTCAACATGTGCCTGGTGGCCAGCGGAGCGGCGGACGCGTATTACGAAATGGGCATTCACTGCTGGGACATGGCGGGAGCGGGCGTCATCGTCACCGAGGCCGGCGGTGTGCTGCTGGACGTGACAGGTAGCGGATGCGGAGGGAAAGCATCTTCCTGCCCCCTCTGTTGGGCTTTGGTCTTCCAGTGTGTGCTGTGTGTGATACTTGAGCTCCAGACAAAACAAGCTCCAGATAGACTCTGCGGGGAGAGGCTAAGGGTGGTGTGGGGCTGCTCACGCCACATGGCTAAGCCTCTCCTGACGTGAGCAGAGGAGCTCTGGAGAGGCCGGGAAAGCCTGGCGGGGCCGCGGGCCTGGGGCTGGTGAGCGAGTGGCAGCTGATGGCAGACTCCGTCTCCCACACTTCCTGCCACAGGTCGGATTGGCTCACTGCTTCAAACTGATGGCGACGTTGTTAGAAGTGGGGGAACCTGGTTAAAATTCTCCGGTGTCTGAGAAGGGCAGTGGAGAAGTCAGGAAGTGGGCGGGGTTTCCTGCCCATGGCGCCCAGGCGTTACAGAGGCAGTCAGAGCATAGCGGTGGCTCAGGGAGAACAGAAAAGGTGGCAGGTTCAGACTGGAGTGATTGAGGAACCCCAAACTGGTCTTCAGATAAGATGCCTAGAAACTCATTTGTGTCTTGCCAAAGCTTAACCGTTAGGTCATGTGACAGAGTAGCTTTTGGGAAATATTATGATTGGTCGTGCCTGTCACCGGGTGAGTGCTGTAGGAATGGTTTCAGTACGAGACTAACTCTCCTCCTTGTTTGATTGACTTCAGGGGGACCGTTCGATTTGATGTCGCGGAGAGTCATTGCTGCGGGCAGCAAAGCCTTAGCGGAGAGAATAGCCCGGGAAATCCAGGTGGTGCCCTTCCAGAGGGACGACGAAGACTGAGCTCCCCGCCTCGCCCGCGGCCGCACGCTGCTCTCAGATGTGCTGACACCGGTGGTGCACAAAGTTTAGGACTTCGTTTCAGCCCTGTAATCTGATTGGCTTACGTTGTCTTGATGTCTAGGTTTAAGAATTGCTACTTGTTCCATATTGTCCTAGGACTAGGTAGGCACGGAGTTGAAATATTTCATTGTAAAATTCCATGTAAGAATGTACCTTTTGGCAGCTGATGAGGTGGTATCTCGTCCACCAAAGTAGTGAGCATTCAGTTTCCGAGTCGGTATGAGCCTCTGAAATTTTGACTTGCTACTGATGTACCTCAGCATTCTTAATTACAGAGTCAACCTTTTGGGAAAGAATTTAGATTGAAAGTAATTTTAGGTTGAAAAGCCATGGTGTGTTGATTTGTAAGGAGTGTGCTGAGTCCTGCCTGGGCCGGGCTGCTGTCTCTGCAGAGTCTTGCTCTATGCATGGCTGCTCAGCTGGCACCTGCAGGCACCGGGCAGGCGGTCGGCAGTCCACAGGAAAGCATTGGAACCGCGAGGCTTTTGGAGGGAGCAGTTTCTGGTTGTAGCAGATACATAGTGAAGAGCTCACCTTTCTGCGTGATCACCAGGTTTTGAAGTAAGGCTATGTAGCCACCCCTTATATTTCACATTACCGTTCCTAGAACATTTCATTCCGCACGTCCCCACAGCTGTCCCTTAAGTGTGGGCATTTCTGCAGTGCGTGTGCGCCGGGACCTGCCTTCCTGTGCCCAGGGACCGGTGAGCGCCGGAGCCCGCCCGGGGCAGGCAGGCGGAGTTGCTAATATTGAGCTTGGTCCTTCTTAGACTCCTCGTTTCACTTCGTTTCCACCGGTTTCTGTTCAGCCTTTAAATATTCCTTAAGGTCTTTGGCTTATCACTCAAAAAGAAAATTGCTTCAGTTCATAGATGCTCTTACAGATTTATTTATTTGTTGGCACGTGAACAGACCAAGTTTAGTTACAGGCTATGCGAGCCTGGTGTTGGAGGGCACGGAGGTGTTCAGGGCAGGGTATTCCATTGTGCGCGTCTCACATTAAACGGTGTCACTAAGACCTGAGTGTCGTCATCGTGCGTCTGTGCTGTTGGCCACGTGCAGTAAAACATCTCATCCTGTGTTCTTGCAATTAAATATATTTTAATTAAGACAATCATGAATGACATTTTAAATAAAACATATAATTGAAATTTTTATTAAGATTTATAGTTTAAACTACCTTTTTGTTTATTTCTTTTAACTTATAATACATTTTAAAAATAAGAAGTAGCCTTAATATTTAGCATTTGTCGAGCACTATAGCAGGCACCGTGTAGCACTTGACATCGTGATCCTATTTAATTCCCACCTTAGACAGGAGAGCTGTGTCCTCGTTTTTACGAGGTGCGTGGATGTTACTTAATTAATGAGCCCACTTTCCCGGCTGCAGGTACAAGCAGTGAAACACGTAGAGAGCGGGACAGCGGGGCCCGCAGTCTTCCCCGGACCGGCGGGCCACACCTGGCTGCAGGAGAGCCACCTGGGGCTCTTGAACAGCATTGCTTGGTCCCACCCGAGGGAATCAGATTGACTTGGTCGGTGCTGTGGCCTGGCCAGCTGCCTTTTGGCAAGGGGCCTGGGGACTCTGGGTGGATAGGAGTGAGCTGCTTTCTCAGGAATGGCGTCCTCAGTGACTCGCCCTCGCCACCTCCACAGTCTCGGGGGGCTTCATGGTGCGACTGGGTGTCTGCACGCCGAAATGTGGCTGAGAGTCATCCCTGTGCTGATGGGGTGAGAGCCGGATTTGAAACTAGTGTAGCGGCCTTTTGATTCCCACAAATGACCACTAGATGGCAAATTACACACAGGGAATCAGACTTTAGCATTTTCATCATGGAAAACATTTTATTTTTCCTTCAAATGACCTCATTGGCCAGTATTGGGGTTTAATAATACAGTACCAAAGCCAGGTAGTTTTCTCGTAAAGTGGAATACCCTGCATTGTGGGTCAACTTATTCCTTCCGGCAAAGCCATAGGTGCTGTCTGCCCTGTGGCCCCGACGTCAGCGCTGTGCAGCGTTAGCTTTCAAGGGCTCAGTAACCATGGACATAAGCGAGGCGTGGGCCTTGTTATACATGAGCGCCTCTCCACCAGTCCAGTCCAGTGTCACTGTCAGTAACCGGCCGCTCACAAAGCCGTCCCCGCGTCCCGGTTGTAGGGCGAGGTATGCTGGTGAGACGTGAGGAAAATAAAAGTATATGAGTGAGGTCATGCACTTGTGTTGATCAGTGAATGATTTTTAAAGTTTTCTATCAAAAAGCAACTACTTGCCCTTCCTCAGACTCAGGCATGGCACCAGCGGAGGGCCGGCCTGGGGAGCTCAGACGTGGATGTCTGAGGGCCTTGCCCTGCCCACGAGAGGGCCCCTCTTGCTCGGCCCCAAACCTTTCCCCCTCCATCCCTGCCTTGCTCCCGTCCTTGCTAGCTGTCTTCCCAAGGCATTCACTTGTGGGCGCTTTGGAGAGCGATTCCCAGGACCCTGGGAGTGAGGGGTCCATAGATTGTCTGGGTAGGGTTCCAGGAGGAAAGATGCCCTCGCTGTCCGTCTGTCTGCCACAGCCAACATGCCTGGGAAGAGCTGCACCCGCCATCTGCCCGGAAACCAGACTTCCCTCTTGTCACTGGTCACTCCCAGGAGGAAGCTCTGGGAGAGCCAGGTGTGAGCTGTCAGGTGACAGCCTGGCATTGGCTCTGACAGGTGTGAGCTGTGCGCCCTTCCCACCTGCTGGGCTCTCACTGGGGAGCTAATGGCCAGCACTTTGTAGACAGCAGACTCTGTGTGCTTAGAGCTAACAGGCCAGCGCTGGGGGGCCTGGCTGGTCCCGGGGTGCAGACAGCAGATAGCAGACACTGTGTGCTTAGAGCTAACAGGCCAGCGCTGGGAAGACTGGCTGGTCCTGGGGTGCAGACAGCAGACTGTGTGCTTAGAGCTAACAGGCCAGTGCTGGGGGGCCTGGCTGGTCTCAGGGTGCAGACAACAGACTGTGTGCTTAGAGCTAACGGGGCCAGTGGTGGGGGGCCTGGCTGGTCTCGGGGTGCAGACAGAGACACCATGTGCTTAGAGCTAACAGGCCAGTGCTGGGGGGCCTGGCTGGTCTCGGGGTGCAGACAGCAGACTCTGTGCTTAGAGCTAACAGGCCAGTGCTGGGGGGCCTGGCTGGTCTCGGGGTGCAGACAGCAGACTCTGTGCTTAGAGCTAACAGGCCAGCGCTGGGAAGACTGGCTGGTCCCGGGGTGCAGACAGAGACACCATGTGCTTAGAGCTAACAGGCCAGTGCTGGGGGGCCTGGCTGGTCTCGGGGTGCAGACAGCAGACTCTGTGCTTAGAGCTAACAGGCCAGCGCTGGGGGGGGCTGGCTGGTCCCGGGGTGCAGACAAGAGACACCATGTGCTTAGAGCTAACAGGCCAGTGCTGGGGGGCCTGGCTGGTCTCGGGGTGCAGACAGCACACTCTGTGTGCTTAGAGCTAACAGGCCAACGCTGGGGGGCCTGGCTGGTCCTGGGGTGCAGACAGCAGACTGTGTGCTTAGAGCTAGCAGGCCAGTGCTGGGGGGCCTGGCTGGTACCGGGGTGCAGACAGCAGACTGTGTGCTTAGAGCTAACAGGCCAGTGCTGGGGGGCCTGGCTGGTCCCAGAGTGCAGACAGCAGATAGCAGGCACTTTGTGCTTAGAGCTAACAGGGCCAGTGCTGTGTGGGCCTGCAGTTAACCTAGAGCTCAGTTGAATTTGAAAAAGTTGAGCCCACTCACTTTTAGAGAACTGAGTCCAGATGACACAGGACTTGCCACACAGCAATCTGCTCACCATCTGAGAATCTAAGGCTGCATTTTCTCCCTTTTCTTTTTTTTTTTTAACTATGGCCGCCCCGTGGGCTGTGCGGCTGTGGCAGCGGGACCGGGGAGGACGGTTTGAGCACAGGGAGGGCGTCCCCCTCAGGACTTCGCTGCGGTTAGGGAGAGGGGCAGGTCGGAGGAGCTCACCTTGGACTTGCTGAGCAGGAGTGGGGGCGGGGGCGGGTTCAGGCAGAGGTGCCAGCGGGCACCTAGGCTTCAGGAAGGGAGCACTGGTCAGCCAGGACGGTCCCCCAGAGGCGGCAGCGGGCACTGTGGAAGGAAGGGGTCACTGCAGGGGCGGAAGGAGCAGAAGGAGATAAAGCTCCTCCCGGGAAGGTCGTCCCAGTGGTTCGTCCTGGGAAGCCGCGATGTGGGCTGGGTCTAGGGCCCTTCTTGAGGTCATTTCACTCGGCGGGAAGGAAGTAAACGGAAAGCAGTGACTAAGAGCAGTTTTACGCCAGGAACTGGCCCCTGGACCTCTCAGAACCCATCTGACTGGGAGAAACAATGTGGGCGACGTGAGCGGCGTGGGGTCCCCTGGAAGCTCACCCCGCAGAGCAGGCACCCCGGCTTCCGGAGGGAGGACCCTCTCCACGAGGCGGGGGGTGTTTACCGCCTCGCACAGCGCAGACGCGGGCCCGCGGCCGGTCCCGGGCTGGCCGTGCTTCCCGCTCGCCCGGCCCTGGTGCTGCTCTGCCACCGAGCCCACAGGCTCCGGCCGGCAGCCCTTCACATGGCGAGATCGCTCCTCCAATATTTACCCTCTGCTGCCGGACTCCGGCCTCACACGGGCCCTGGGCACGGCTCCGAGCCGGGCTGATGGCTGGTGGCACACGCACGCCACCCTGAGGGAGCGGCTGCTATAAACAATTCACCGGATAGCACCCTGGGGCGGCCCTTCCCGCCGGCATGAGGTCCAACTCTCCCCAAGCCCACCCGCTCCCCCACGCGGGACGTCCCCCACGCGGGGCACTCCTCCACGCATGATGCACCGGAGGGGGTGGCTTTGCTCCTCGCCTCCTCCCGCTGTCTCGGCAGAGGTGGCAGGCGCAAGTCTATTAAAGATCGAGAACCTTCTAAAGATTCAGGTCTTGTCATTTTAGGCTCCGGGTCCTTGGCTTGCTCCGTAGAAAGCGGAGAGACCTGTCACTAAGAACACCCTGCACCCCGGGGAGGGCCGCTCCTGGCCGTGGAGCTCGTGGAGGCAGAGCACACGGTGAGCGGGGCTGGGGGCAGCCGTCCTGCCTTCGCCGATCTCAGTGATTCCTGCTCCTGAGCACTCACGCGAGCGACTGTGGCGCCCCCAGGGCTGGGCTTCGTGCTGGTGCAGGCACAGCGAGGATCGAGCAGACACAGCCCCACCGCACGGGCAAGTGGAGAAACGCCACGCAGGGCAGCCCACTTCGGCGCGGTGGGGCCCGTCCGTCCGGGCAGCTGTCTGGGGGTGCCCTGTGCTACCTGTGGGATCGGCCAGTTTCTCTGCTGCTCAGGTCGTTGGTGGTTGGTGGGAAGATCTGTTTAGATGATAGCCATAAATGGCTCGCACGCAGTCCATGTGTCTGATGGTGCTTTAAGCTCCTTGTGACAAGTTTTTGGATCATTTTGCTCACGTTGTGCTGTGTCCCCGGTGCCTGGAGCCACGCCTGACACCGGGCAGGCATTGACACACACGTGTTGGCTCAATGGCCTTAACAATGACGAGAATCACGGTGGGAAAAGAGACCACAGAGGAGACACACGTAAGCTACCAAATGGAGCCTGGTAACCTGGATGTCACAAGGTGCAGCTTTTGGAGTCAGAATCTAAGTCCAAAACCAACAGTTAGTCCTCAGAAATGGAAACCCTGTTACACTCAAGGGAAGGAGTTGGATGCATTTCCATCTGTCCCCACTGGAGGGAGCTGGTCCCTTCACTTGAACCTGCTGGTCCCAAGCCGGACCCCCTCCCTCACCCCCACCTCGCCAGGCCGCCCTCATTGGGAAGCTGCTGGGGCCACGGCCTGCTCTCTCTGGCTTAGTAGATGTTTTAAAAAAGGCTCAGATCAAATCAGTGGTAGCCAGAATGCATCATCGAAAGGTAATTCATGTTGTCTTTCCAAAGAAATGTTAAAGGAAATCACTTATTTCATTGACTTCGGAAGAACTCAGTCTGTTCCCCGCAGGGAGTATGTCTGCACGTTTTTAATCTTCGGGCACGTGAATCTCGGTGTTCGGAAAATCACTGGGAATGCCTCTCTTCGATTGTTTTGGAAATTAAAGTTGGCCAGCTTTCCTTTTTTTGCACATTTTCTTACGTGCCTGAGCCACATGGTCTAAATCAAACGTCTTTG